ATTGAATGTAAGAGAGGTTTTGAGAGAGAGAGAGAGAGAGAGAACTTTAGTATTCGTTGCGCTCTTTCTCTTCAATCAATTTATTTATATTTTTGATTCTATAAGACATTAGTTTTCAAACTCCAAGAGATAGATAGAGAGCGGAGAATGAGAGCGAAAATACTTTATATAAGAGTACGGCTTAAGAGTTATTAAAAGAAAAACTAAAACATAGTATTCATGTGTATTGAATGTAAGAGAGGTTTTGAGAGAATATTTTAAGAATACAGTACTAAATGACTGAATGACTGCTTAACTATAGTTTTCCTGTGTATTCAACAAAAACCAAAGACCGATGCACTGGAAAGTAAAGGAAGAGCACATAAAACAAGGGGGCAATCGTTTGGTAGGCTTAAGCCCTACACAAAGTGATCGGCACAGAACTGAAACTGAAATTCATTGAATGCATGCACTCCTCAGCACTCACTCTATGACTGATCCCCTAATGTCGAGATTGTGTGTGCAGTTCAGGCAATGAACACAAAAATTATACCGATTTGTGAAATAAAGTGAGAGAAAAAAGAGGAAAACACAGCCAAACGACTGTACAGTAAAGGGACAGAGAGTGTACAGAGAGTGCCAGAGAACCAGTTTTTGTGGCCAAACACTGTGTGCGTGTGTTTCCATACAATCCATGCCATACACAGCCTGTGTTAGGCCAGGCGTTAGTTAGTAGTGATCGGGCAATGAAGAGAGAGAGCCATTGCATTGCCAAACACTTACGACAGACACAACAAAACAGTGTTGTATTGAGAAAAAAAAGTTATGGTCAGAGAGTGAGCGAAACAAAAACACACACAATGTTTATATGCAGTCATTTCAATGAGTTAAATGTCTGCAACTTCTATGGCTATGTCTTGTGTTGTCTTCTTCACCAGTGAAGTGAACTTCAATTAGACATTTGAGTGAAAGACAAGTGTAAGAAATATATAACAACTTTTTTCTCTCTCCGTATGTGTTGTGTGTTTGTTATCATCGGAAAGGAAAGCAAATAAACAGAGATATCGTTCATAAAAATCAATATTAATAAAAATGTCAATTCTTTTGTGTACTTCTCTGTCATTCACTTCATAACTGTTTCCCACATATTATCTGTAAGTCAAACGAAACGCAAACTTCGTTTTCAAGACATTAGAATTTTGTGTGTTTTTTGTTTTTTCGTTGTTTTGTTTTTTTGGCGTTAATTTCGCTTTTGGTTTAAACTCTTGTTTTGTTATCTCAAGAGAAGAAAAAACTATAACTGGATTTAGTCTCTCATTCACATCACTCTCTCGTATAGTTTGCCTTATCTTTGATACACTATTTTTTTGTCGCTCAATATTTTGTCCGCAATTTGTGTTTCATTTTTATGATTGCAATTTGCAATCAAATGTTTTATACATTTTATACATTGTTATCAATTCATAACTCGAGATATTATTTATTATATAAACGCTTTTCATTGAAAGACATTAAGTGCCGAAAAATATATGTCTCTATTTAGCCGTCTATTTATTTATGACTTAAATATTGCTATTTTTTATACGACATATCGCTATAAAACTATACATAACTTAAGTTATAATTATATTTGATATATAAAAAACACTTTGCATTTCTTATACGGTATACAAGTCTTAAATAAACTTTTCATTTTTTGATTTGATTATACAATTCACTGTCGATTGAAGTCTATTATTATGATTATATTATATGTCATAAATTTTCTGCTAGTTTTTCGCTGCAAATTGTTTATAAATTAAATATAAATTATATTTCGTAATATTTTTTTTCTTAAGTAAACATAATTTCGCTATAATTTTGGAGTCAATAAAAAATAATACATTTTCAACAAATCAAACGTCAATTTAGAGCTCATTTTTTGAGTTCAGTTCAGTTTCACATGAAATGATTTTTTGGGACAAAATCCGTGTTCATTATTATCTCATGAGTTATATTTTTTTTATTGTTAACTATTTTTAATAAGCCTTTTATTTTGCTGTCATTTATTTGACTCGAATAACAGTTAAAACTCTTTATATTAATGGGAAGAGCGGTCGACACTCTTCTAGAGTGGAGTTTATTATACTATTGTTTAATAATTAATTAAAGTCTTGTTTTTGTTGTTTGGGATATCTGTTGGTCTGTTTGGCAAACGATAACATCTGCGCCCAAAACACACACCACTCTATCCAAGAGTTAACTAAATTAATAGTATATTAAATAATAGAGTCATTTGTTTAATAGATTAGTATCTGAGAGCGAAAAACACACTTTTCCTCTCAAATATATAAGTTATTCATTGCATTCAAACACTTAATTAAAACACAGCTATTCTGTTATCATTTGAAAATTGAATTGAAATTAAAATTTTTTCTCTTTTTTTAGTTGTGTTTTTCATGTGAAACACTCTATGAATACTTGAATACAATTGAAGGGGTTTTACGCACACATGATATATGATAAATGTTTAGCTCAAAAGCCATCGCATAATTAAATTGAAAATAACTCCGAAATAAAAGTGTTTTTTGCATCAATTATTTATATTTCTCTTTTCATATGTTATTGAAGTTTTGAGGTTTTGGTTGAAATCATTTTGCCATTCCGTTGAAAAACGACTTCTCATTTAGATTATGATTAATAGATAGGTATCTGTAATGAGAAATAAAGATTTGTGTTTGAAATGTGTTTTTAAAACACATTAAATTTATTCAAAACACATATATTTCATAATCAAAAACACACAATAATATGGTATATAAGAGAAGTATGTGTTTGTGTGTGAGAAGGAGATAACAAATTGTATGTAATGGTAATGAATAAATAAAAAACATATCATTATTACCTAGTATTTGTTTGGCTCAATATTCGTGACCCTATTCTTATTGGTCTTATAATTGAAAAACTTTTTTTTTCATTCATATTTTATTTTCTTTCGATTAACTATTAAAATATATCCAAAACATTGGGAAATAAAATGCGAGAAAAAAATTGAGACCAACTTTTATATATTTCTATTACATTCGCGGATTGAAACGGTTTTTAATCTGTATTTTCTCTTCCCATTTAATCAATGGTTTTATTGTCGACTAAATTATTGTTTTATAGTTACTCTTTATTTTTTCTGAATTGTCATTGCATTGCATTTGAAACACAATTATATATATAAAATATATTTTTTCTTGTTTTTTTAATGATAGTTAAAGTGCTCCCAATGTTCAGGCTTTTGGTGTTTAGTTAAAAGTTATTCATTAGTTTTTTTTGTTGGTTTCTGTGCTATACGTTTATACCCATAACGTGTATGTAATGTAATGTAATGTAATGTGTTTTTTCAAAGCTCTAATTAATTCAGAGTCACATAAAATTCAATGGTAATGATTAGCACATGAATTGTACAAATAAATAGACTAAAAACCAGAGGGTAAAAACACGAGTGAACACACGGAGTGAGAGTGTAATAAACGGGTTTATCAATTGATTTATATTCAAAATTCTTTGACAAAAATAGCCGAGTTCACGACTCTTTTCGCTAAGCAATTCAATATAAACACAAATAAACAGTTATGTAATGAGTTTAACGTATAAGAAAAGCCATCGAATAATAGTCGGATAGTAGTGTTGTAATGGATATAACGGTTGCGATTGAGTGCTATATTTAAAAGTTTACGTCTCAGCGATTCATTTGTCTTCAGCTATCAGTGGCTCTCTCTCAAAGTCACTCCGCTATCGATGATTAAAACTAAACGTTTGTCTCATTAATCGACAGTAAAAAAAAGTTTCAGTGATTAGAAGTGAAAATCGTTGGCTTATAATCCAATCTATCGTTCGGCGAAAAGCCATTGCAATCCCGACTCAAAGATAGCGCTTTTCAATACAACACACATTCAATACAGACTCTCCTCTCTCACAGTCTCGGGAGAGGACTGTGTCTGAGGTATGGGTGGAGACAAACAGCTATTCTGTAATATCTGGCAATTCCTGCCTTATATTTAACTGCAAAACAGTCTCTCGTTTTTCCTTTATTTATGATTTTCACAACTCATGTGAAAAAGCATTGAAAAGTCAGTCTATAGTTAGGGAGGGATTGTAATGAGTGCTCAACACTACTAACAACACTAACTCTGCAACTGATCTCTTGTTAGTCCTCTAGTCCTCTGCTGTTGTTGGATGTGATCATCACTTGATGACAATGAGTGCTCATATAATCATCTCGTTTAGAGCCAATCGAGAGTTTCCTTATTATGGGAACCACTGATTGTCCGACCATTAAGTGGTAGATCTGATTGTAGACCAGAAAACGGCTCACAATTATAGCTCTTCTCTTCCCCTGAAGTAAATTGAAAACAACTTTTTTTCTCCCATAGAGTCTATTGTTATCGCAATTTGTTATTCATTTGCATTGAATTTAAATGATATATCGTTTTGAATATTTCAATACACTATTCATTAAATTAATGATTTTTTTGTACACTTTATAGAGACTGAGAGGAAGAAGAGAGAAATGCGTCGAAAGCGTCATCTCCTCAAGAATTGCATGATTTAACTGATCGTCAAAAGTGTTTATTCAGTGATATTTATTATATGCATGTATTGTCACAACCAATTGACTCAATGGATGCGCTTATCATGGATTCAATTGACACAAAACGCTTAGAAGACACTTAGAGACCGCTAATACAGCCGCCAATCCATTGATCCATTCAAATGAGTGCAACCATTGATCACTCCTTCGCGCGATTCCAGCGCTGGAAGTGCTCTTCATTGGCATCTCATGTCAAACACATCCACATATTATTCATATTTCTATTTATTATAATTCATTCAAATGGTGTGAATTGTGAGACAGACGTCGACCAGAGTGTCGACATATGGACGACAATCGCACCGAATGGCCAACAATTGACAGTACAATCAAACAGCGCCGACACCGACGACGACGAGCCCACAGTCGAGCCGACGGCCGCCGCCAACACTGACGCCGAGTCTAGCTTTTCGTTCACCAAAGAGTCATACAATGTGTCGATTCCGGAGAACTCTTTCGGCAAAGTGTACGCCATGTCTGACCAGAAGATGGGAATATATATCACAGACCCGGCGCTCGTCGTCCGGTATAAGATAGTCGGCGGAGATTTCGATAAGATATTCAAAGCCGAGGCCAGACATGTCGGCGACTTTTATTTCCTATTGATTAGACTTCGGTCCGGATTCACGAATGTCCTCAACCGTGAATACCGGTCCACATATGACCTCAGAGTTCGGGCGACCATTACGTCCCTCCGAAACGACGCGCTTCGGCTGAAGACCAGAACCGGTGTGAGTGTTGTCATCACAGATCGCAACGATTTGTCGCCCTTTTTCTACCCCGAGAGCTATGAAGTGAGTGTCGCCGAAGATATTCCTATCGACAGCAGTATTATTAGAGTTTCGGCCGTCGATCCGGACGTCGGACTTAACGGCGAAATCTATTATAGTTTGGCAGAAGAGTCGCTCACATTTGCCGTTCACCCGACGATGGGTATAGTGTCGGCCGCCCGACCCCTCCTCACACTCCTATCCGACTCGAATCGACCGCAAAACTATCACTTAATAGAACACCGGTTTCTAGCGCCATAAGTGGTGAGCCTAGTTCACGACCTGAGTCGGTTTCGGTTTCACTGCTATTGTCACCAAGGCCACTTGGCTATACACGGCGCTTAGGTTATGTTTGTTGTGTCGCGGCTCTCCAGTCGGGCGCCACTCAACCCGATCTTAGCCGTCCTCCACGTGACGGACGACGATTACGGCTCTTTCGGCACTATATGTCACGTTAGTATTGTTGACGGCGACGATCACCACTTGTTCACTGTCACCAACTCTTCGTCCAATGATTACAACATTGAACTCGTGAGGCCTTATTTGAACGAAACTGCCATCACTTCTGTGTATAATCTAATCGTGAAAGCGATAGACTGTGGCGGAGGGTTCGCAACGCAACCCATTGTTCTCACATTAAGTAACGCTAAATCTGTTCCCAAATTTGATTCCGACTATATAATGTCGCTTTATGTGCTTTACAGAAATTAGCCGTGAGTTCACTAATTTGACTTCCGTTGATAACAATTGGTTTTGCTTTCAAACGTAAATTTCATGTTATATTAACTACCGTTAATGCTATTGCTGTTCGGCATTACCAGCAATGGTGTGGTCTTCACGCGGCAGCCGTTAGACAGAGAGACGCAAAACAAATACTTGTTAGTCATCGGCGCTCAGATCGACTCGACCCGAGCGACCAAAACTCAGCTTCATATCAATGTGATGGACGACAACGACAACTATCCCGTCTTCAACATCGAAAAGACTCAAATCTCAATCGCTGTCAATGAGAACAAACCGAACGGATCGACAGTCTTCCGCATCACGGCGTCGGACGCCGACTCGGGCGACAACGGACTCGTCACCTACGAGTTGACGTCCGCCACCGGCGCCTCATTGCCCTTCATTATCGATCATTCCAGCGGTGAAATCAAATCCATTAAGACACTGGACTACGAGTCGGGTCCGCATCACTTCCAACTACTTATCCGGGCTTCCGATTGGGGCGAACCCTTCCGACGGCAGACACAAATCGGCCTCAATCTGACGCTGAAGGATGTGAACGATCACAGACCACAGTGAGTGCTGTTTTGATATATTGCATAAATATTTAGCAAATTTTATGATTTAACTCTTGTTATTAAATGTTCATCGCTTATAGGTTTGAGAAGAACAACTGCAGCGCAAACATTCCCATCACCACAAAGCCATACACAGAGATTATGACTTTCTCTGCCATAGATCTCGATGAGGGAAGTGTTGTGTTGTATAAGATGTTTACGCCGAGCGCTGAGAAATGCTTTAATCTGAACGAAAATACGGGTATTTTAAGACTTACGTGCAATTTGAAGGACGAGTTATCCAAGAGCTCAGGCCCTGACCTTATGAATTGGACGCTATCCATATCGGCCACCGATGGCCACTATTTCTCCGACACCTCATACGTGAAAATCATTGTCGTCGACGAGAATCAGATAATTGACGGCAACAAGAAGTCGCCGAAGAATCACATTAGAGTCGAGTGCAATGATTTAGCGGTCGCTCAGAAGTTGACGGCATTTATGATCCAAAGACAGCAGGAAAATGATGTTCAGTACGACTCGTTTGAAAACTTTTTGACGGATGAATCCGTCGATAATCTCATCAAACATAAGAATAAAAGACCAGAATTTGATCAAAACGTTCCGAAAGAGATATATATTCCCGAAAACATTGAAAAGGGAACCAAAATCACGTCATTGAAAGCCGAAGATCCGGATCACGGATTTGATGGATATGTGATCTATTCGTTGAATTTACACGACAGACATAATAGGAGTCATTATAACCACGACGTGGTCTTCAATATCGATCAGTTGACGGGAGATCTGGTTGTGATCGACGCTCTTGACTACGAAAGGCATTCCAAATATAAGCTACACATCAGTGCCTGTGATTTGGCTAAAGAACAGCTCTGTTCTAACCATACCATTGTTGTGGTCATTGAAGATGTCAACGACAACGCGCCTGTTGTCGACAACTTTGCATTTAATGTATCAGAATCTGCTTCCAAAGGCTATATAATCGGACAAATCTTTGCTACCGATGAGGACTACGGCAACAATGCTTTACTTCAATACTCTTTGAAGGGATACGAAAACTTGTTTGCAATCAATGCTATTAACGGAACGCTTACTCTTGAGAACAGTTTGGACAGAGAAGTGATTGATAAGTATATTCTTTACGTTACTGTACACGACTCGGGCTCTCCTTCTCTATCGTCCACATCTATGATCACCATTTATGTCGACGGTATGTCTTAAATGTCTAAATTTATACAATGTTTTAGTAATTAATTTCTCATTTTAGACGTCAACGATAATCCGCCTCTTTTTCACGAGACCTCTTATGTGATTAAAGTGCGCGAAGATATGCCCATCGGTTCCAGAATTATGAAAATAATTGCTTTCGATGGCGACGAAGGAAAGTCTGGCAAAATTCACTACACTATTGATAGCACTGTCTTCTCAATCGATGAAATGACTGGAAATATCCGAATTCGGGAACAATTAGACTTTGAGAGGATTCAGATCTACAATCTATCGGTTACGGCCAGAGATGAAGGCGAGCCGTCACTAACTTCTATCGCATGTGTTATCGTTGAAGTGGAAGACGTGAATGAGAACTATTATCCGCCAAAATTCTCTGACATCGTCGCCACTGCAACCGTACGCGAGAACTCACCCTTAAGTAAGTAACCATAACATGACATTTTCACTCATTTATATCATTAAAATAAGTATGAGATTAATGTATTTGCTTTTGAATGACATTTGCAGATACTTTTGTCACTCAAGTAAAAGCTGTCGATGAGGACAGCGATCTTCCGGTTGTCTACCAGATCATAGGCGGTGACGGTTTGGGAAGATTTACGATCGACAACAACGGCAACGTTCATACGGCAGCTGTTCTCGACTGTCTCTGGTTAGGAGTGATAACCGAGTGTTAACACCGGTTTCTAGCCCGCCGCCAAGGCAACTGGCGTATAGACCTTGAAATGTAAAGCCACAGTTTACTTTTGCTAAATGGCGGCGAATGCCGGCTTGCCTTCTATTACACCCGTATTCTGGAGAACGCCTCCATTGGGACCAATATAGTGAAAGTGGAAGCACACGATCCCGACCTCAACTCAGAGACTGACACCAAAATTGCGTTCAGAATCTTAAACGACGTGCCCTTTACTATCGACGCCGACGGTGTGATTGACACGAAAGACAAACTCGACAAAGAAACGCAATCACGTTATGTGATTGATCTCGAAGTTAGTGAAGAGCATAACACCGATTCCGAGGACGCGGTGACGACGACAATGATATCGCGAACACCTATTATAGTGAATGTGATTGATGTGAACGAATACGAGCCCAAAGCCATACTCTCGATATACAGGTGTCAGGCATATAACGACATCTCACAGAAGACACCTATTTGTCAAATCGTGGCGAGCGATAGGGACGACGACGAGAACTGTGTGCTTCAGTATAAGTTCATTGAAGGCAATGACTACGACTGGTTCGCTATCAACCCGTCCAGTGGTGCCATTCATACCACGAAAGACGGAATACCAAAAGGAGAATACGATTACATCATATCTGTGTCCGATTGCGGAACGCCTCACAAGTCATCGCAGGTTCGGCTCATAATACGGATGTTATCGCCTAATAAAGAGCGAACTGAAAACAACCCGCCAGTGATCGAGTCCTTTGATTCGGAGATATCGATCAGTGAACGCGAATCCATTGGATATGCCGTCACTTTGTTTAAGGCTTCGGACGACGATAACGATCGCCTCTGTTATCATATAATTGACGGCAATATTGGCAATACGTTTGCCTTCAGAGACGGCGGAGCGCTGATTGTGGCGAAACCGTTGTCGTCTAAAATGGCCATCAGATATAATTTGACGATATCTATCACCGATGGAATCAAACCAGTGATCGTTAATCTGATAATCAATTTGATTGATGTTTACGACGATAAGGTTGTGTTCATTGAAGACAGTTATACCGTCAATGTGTTGGAGAACATCACGAAAGGCAGCGAAATCTTGCAGATGAGTGTCTCGGACAGAGAGTTGACCGACGGTATAGTGTTCTCTATATATTCCTCGTACTCTCCCGAGAGTCTCAAGAAGTTTGAAGTCGAGTCGTGGAGCGGAAAAATCAAAATCAAAGAACCGCTGGATTACGAGTCGGGAAAACATCATATGCTTGTCATCGAAGCGAGTAATTCACGTGTGAAGACATCCATTCAACACAACCGTTCGTTCGCAAAGGTTTCCATTAATATAATTGATGTGAACGACGAAACCCCGACTTTCATTTCGCCCCAATTCGAGGCCACAGTTGTCGAGACCTCTGCCATCGGGACGTCTGTCCTGCAAGTGTTGGCCATCGATAGAGACGTCGGAAATAACGCTAAAATTAATTACTCGATTATATCAGGCAATATTGACAGTGTGTTCGACATCGACAAAGATCTCGGATTTGTTTATTTGTCGAAACCGTTGAACGCGAGACAACAGTCGGAGTACTATCTTGTGATTAAAGCGACAGATAAGGGGTCGCCTCCTCTGTCCAGTACTGCCAACGTTCACATTTCGGTCAGTATTCCGGATAACTCTCCGCCAAAATTTGAAGAGAAACAGTATTCAATTGATATCAACGAAAACGCAAAGACCGGAACTGTTGTGATCTCATTGAAGGCCACGAGTAAACAATCGCTTTATTTTGAGATAATTAGTGGCAATAATGACAATAAATTTTCTATAAATGTAAATAACGGTGAGGTTTGGGTGAGGGATGCGCTCGACTTTGAAGTGAAACAGAACTATTCGCTCACTGTTTCGGCCACGAGTTTAGTCGGCATCAACGACACGACACATCTCTACATAAATGTGATAGACGTCAACGATTGCACACCTTATTGGCCACAAGACGTGTTTGTCGGTCACATCTTAGAGTCGGCTCCGATCGGCAGTATTATATCGGACGACAAAGACTCGCCTCTTGTGGTGAAAGCCAAAGATAATGATTCTATGCATAACTCGATTCTCGTGTACTCTATCGTGGAAGAGATGGGCCGCAAGTACTTTGCAATAGAGCCACAAACCGGTGCCATAACTCTCGCCCGACGTATAGATTACGAGAAGCGAAAGGAATTCAATTTCACGATATCTGTCAGTGATCTCGGATTCCCGAGCCTTAAGGCAGTGACCAATGCTTTCGTAAGAATAGAATGTCTTCCGGTTAACGACTGTCCGCCAGTCCTCTCATTAACTCACTATCACTCGACTCTTTTGCTTCCAACCTATAAGGATGTGATCGTCACTAAGATATCCGCCACTGACTGTGATTACGGCAAACACGACGAGAATCACAATCACTTTATCTTCAGTTTGACTCCAATAACAATGTCTTCCGAAAAGAAATTCTCCATTAATTCGACGTCCGGTTTGATTACAACATCCGATGACAGGCTGTCTGAGGGTCTGTACGAGATGTTTGTCTCCGTATTTGACGGCAAATTTACAACAGAGGCAAAAGTGTCGATCACTGCCGAACAGATACCGCGAAGTTCTTTGCGTTTCACTCACGAGCGGTTTGTGGGACACATCACCGAAAACACACAATCAGTGAAGACTATACTAATGCCGACCATTGAGGGCAACAAATTGAACGAACACTTGTCCTTCCGAATCCTGAACCCAACCAATCTGTTCCGTATCGCCAGAACTTCGGGCGCTATTCTCTCGCGCGGTATTCCCATCGATAGGGAGGAGAAGTCGCGGTTTGAGCTCGTGATCGAAGTGCGTTCAATGTTTGTCAAGTCACGGGTCGCCCACTGAAATCAACACTAGTTACACCTCCTGTACTTGCTGTTGTTCGGAAATAAGCACCCAGTCGGGATGATAAACCACAAGTTGTGTCTGATGCGCCGGCCTTGAGTCTAACCAAACAAACGTTGGGATAAAGTTTTGAAAGTGAATTACATGTTTGTTATTGTTTAGGTCGAGCGCAAGCCATCGATCTGGACGTTGGTTATAACGGAATGGTCACCTATTCTATACTATCGGGCGATCCAAACAAACTCTTCTCTATTAACACCGACAATGGTTTGTAATCTAATTTCATTAATGGATACATAACTAAACGTTAAGCACATATAAAAATTTTAACAAAATATATGTTTACTCATCAGGATATATATCAATGGCCCGATCGGCCAATACGGCCAACGATCCACTTAATTATAATTTACTTATTTCTGCCAAAGATTCTGGTAAATAGAAATTTTAATTGTTTGTAAAGTCTCTACAAAACTAAAGCCATAATTATTTTAATTGAATGCAAATGAAGGCTCTGTTGCCCTCGAATCGCAAGCGAACGTCACAATAAAGATGGTCTCCGGAGGAATGCCTTTATTCAAACAACAGTATTATTCAGTGCCTGTGATTGAGAGCCATCCTCTTTAGTTGTGATCAATGTGGAGGACATGAACGACAACAAGCCTTTATTCGTGGGTCAGCCCTACTATTTGGTGTTCAACACAGACTACGCGGCCGGAACTCAGATTGGTTTGTTTGCAACCCTATTGGTTTTGAAAGTGAATTACATGTTCGTTATTGTTTAGGTCGAGCGCAAGCCATTGATCTGGACGTTGGTTATAACGGAATGGTCACCTATTCTATACTATCGGGCGATCCAAACAAACTCTTCTCTATTAACACCGACAATGGTTTGTAATCTAATTTCATTAATGGATACATAACTAAATGTTAAGCACATATAAAAATTTTAACAAAATATATTTTACTCATCAGGATATATATCAATGGCCCGATCGGCCAATACGGCCAACGATCCACTTAATTATAATTTACTTATTTCTGCCAAAGATTCTGGTAAATAGAAATTTTGATTGTTTGTAAAGTCTCCACAAAACTAATGCCATAATTATTTAAATTGAATGCAAATGAAGGCTCTGTTGCCCTCGAATCGCAAGCGAACGTCACAATAAAGATGGTCTCCGGAGGAATGCCTTTATTCAAACAACAGTATTATTCAGTGCCTGTGATTGAGAGCCATCCGCCTTCTGTGCCCTTTCTGACAATCAATGCCGACAGTCCTCACGGAAGACAACTTATATACAGTATTGTGTCGGGCAATGAAAACGAAGAATTCTCGCTTGACTTCAATTCAGGTTTGTTTAGATAATAAAGTTTGCGTTTGTTTTGAAACACTAGTCTTCTATTATAGACAATTAAAGGCAATTTCCTAATTTGTTATATACTTTTAATGTGTTCATGAATTTTCACATTTTACTTATCATTTTATACTTGACTTTTGTTTTTATGTTTAATTCTGTTTTTATTTCTTCTAATCTTTTGGTGGTTTTATTCACATTTTATTCGTTTCAATATATTATTGCATTGTTTTGAAAGATCCGACGATTAGTAGCGGTTTATGTGAGTATTTCGCGATTGAAATACATTTTGCAATTTATATTTCGTTTGTTTGCAATTTTTTACGATTTTAAGTCCCATTTATTTGTTTGCATTTAACTGTTTGTTTGCACGAATCGCTTGAACCGCTCCTTTAATCCAATATTTATTTTGGCATTAATTCGCGTTTTATTGAAACTTATGTTTTAAGAGTTTAATGACTTTTTTGGGGCTAATATTTAGGTATGATTTCGGTTATCGAGAAACTCGATCGCGAATCCATCAGTCAATACAATCTAATCATTTCTGGCACCGATTCTGTGTCTGGAGTGAGCGCTACCGTTCCTCTACTTATTACCGGTAATATTAGATGATATAGTAATTGGTTGATAACAGAATCTAATGCCATATTCTCGGTGTGTTTTGCAGTGGAAGACGCCAACGACAATCCACCCATGTTTACAAAGTTCTCATATAATGTCTCGGTCTCTGAGTCGGCGCCCATTGGCGCTAATGTGGTGAGAGTGAGTGCCACCGATGCCGACATCGGTTTGAACGCTAAACTTCAGTATCAGATTCTGGGAAATAAGTCCCACTTTTATGTGTCTCCCGATGACGGCAATATATATCTGAAGACAAATCTCGATCACGAGACCGAACGCGTCCATCACTTCACTGTTATGGCCACTGATTACGGGTCACCGGTTCTCACGTCGACCGCTCACGTGTGGGTCGAGGTGTTGGACGTCAACGATAATAAGCCAATAGTTTCGCCCTCTTTTATGGCCACTATTGACGAGAACATAGAAAAGGGAGGTTTTGTGACCAGAATTGTGGCCAACGATCCCGACTCCAGCGATATATATAAATTGCGGTTCAGAATACTGTCGGGCAATGAAAACATGGCATTTGCTATGAATGATACGTCAGGTGTGGTCACCGTTTCAAATCTCAACTCAAGGCGATCCACAAAAATGAACAAAATCTATGACTTAAACATATCAGTGAATGACGGCGTCTATTCCACCACAACTAGTCTTCGGGTAACAGTAAAGCCCGCGAACAACAACTCTCCCAAATTCAACCGCATCTTCAATAATGTGGCCATAAGTGAGTTGACGGCAACCGACACATCAATCGCACAATTAATTGCCACCGATAGAGACGACGGCCCTTACGGTCATCTCAGTTATCACATCATCAATGATAACGCCAAACGATATTTCAATATTGACTCGCATTCGGGAAATATTACCCTTCGGTCTGAATTGGATCGAGAGAGCGGTCAGCGGCTGTTTTGGCTGACTGTGGCCGCACAGGACGGCGGCAAACGTATCGGTCTCTCCAATCTTCGTGTGGCGATTACAGACGAGAACGACAACTCTCCCCGTTTTATTGTCGACGAATACAAATCAGTGATTTGCGCCAACGCTCCGATCGGCGTAACGGTTCTGCCGGTGATGGCTGTGGATGACGACGACTTTCCCGAGAATACACTCATTCGGTACTCAATATATGAGTCACAGAACACGAGTCGACCGACAGGTTATATACTGGATATGTTTGGCATCACTGCAGACACGGGTCACGTCTACACCAAAAAGAATCTGAGCGCTAATGTCGGAGATATCATCCAATTCTTCGTGAAAGCCAGTGATGGCAGTAATCGCAAGACAACCAAGTCGTTGGAAGACGTGGTTCCGGTGAGTATTCAAATCACCGGTTCGTGTCCTTTCGTCAAACGCCAGACCTCTGTGTACGAGATATTTGTGGACGAAAACACCAAAAGGGGAACAGTTATAGCGAATGTCAATTTGGCGGGACTTAAAGAAGTGGAACTCGCGATCGTCGGCTTCGGCGATAAGTCGGACGCCACTAAATTCCGGATCGACAAACTCGGAAGAATACATCTGACGGAACAGTTGGACAGAGAGACCAAAGCCAAACATACGCTGACAGTGGAAGTGAAGGATAAGATTACTCTTGTCATCAGTTATCTGAATATTCTGATCAATGTTATGGACCAAAACGATTGTATCCCGTATTTCGACTCTTCGTCGTACAGTGCGGTCATCTCCGAAGACCAAGAGATCGGTTCATCCATTATGAAAGTGAATGCCATCGACGGTGACGTCGATGTGGCCAACAATGCGCTGAAGTATAGCCTAAAGGATACCGACAACGGAATGTTTAGTATAGACGAGAACACGGGTTGGATTACATTAACCAAGAGATTGGATCGCGAAAAGAGATCCTCACATAATCTGACAGTTGGTGTAACGGATGGCACTCATTACAACTCAACCCCTTTTAACATTGAGGTCTACGATGTCAACGATAATCAGCCGATTGTTAATCAGAATGTAAGTTATATTTATATCCAATTGAATTAACGATAGATTAACTCATGTTTTTGATGGTTCAGTACATGGCTTCCATCTACGAGAACAGTCCATTGGGAATGATTATAGTGTCAGTCGATGCCATAGATTACGATCAAAACACTGAACTCAGTTATTATATATTGAGCGGCGATTCGTTCAATCAATTTGATATCCGACAAAACGGAGAGATTATTGTCAGCAAAGCGTTGGACAGGGAATCGATCGAAACATACGATTTGGAGATTGTTATAACAGACGGACGTTTTGCCACTAAAACTATGGTTACGATTGATATTTTGGGTAAGTTTTCGACATTAAGTTGTTATGAATAAGTTTTGAAAATGCAATAAATGTATGGTTTTTGTAATACAAACCATAGATATCAACGATAACGGACCCATTTGTCTGAAATCAAAGTACGTTGAGTTAGTGAGCGAAGCGGTCCCTCCGAGCACTTACATTCTGACCGTTGAGGCCACGGATGTGGACGAAGGCGATAACGCGAAGCTTTATTACTTTATCTCCGGCGATGCGGAGAAACACTTTGCAATTGATCCCCAATCGGGTCATCTCAAGACCAAGAGCTTACTCGACAGAGAAAGCCGCGCCTCATATCTGTTTGACGTGCATATCAGTGATGATAAACGGAGGGACTGGACGTGTAAGAGTGAAGTGGAGATATTGCTCAGGTATTTGATGATTAGATTTGGTAATAATAATTACAATTAAATAATGAATACTTTGTTATTAAGTGATGTGAACGACGAATCGCCCAAATTCTCCAACACTTACTATTCGGTTAACGTTCCCGAAGACTCGACGGTCGGTATCATCATCGGTAAAGTGACGGCCACTGACGCCGATCTGGGAATCAATCGGAGAGTGCGTTACGCTCTTCTCACCGAAACCAAAGAGTTTGAAATCGACGACAGGAATGGTATCATTCGTTTGGCGAAGACTTTGGACAGAGAGACCCAATCAACGTATAATCTGACGCTCAAAGCGTACGATTCGGGCGCTTCGCAGCTCTTCTCGACCGCCAATTTCATCGTAAACGTGATGGACATCAACGATAACGCGCCTGAATTTGAAATGCAGTCCTATTCCGGGAATCTCTCCGAAAGCGCTTCAGTCGGCGACGAAGTGCTCAAAGTGTACGCCACGAGTAAAGACACGGGAATTAACGCCGAAATCAAGTATCACTTCTTGAGTGGCAACGAAAACGGAAGCTTTTATATTCACCCGAAGTCTGGCATTATATCAGTGGCCAAAGGACTCGATTACGAAACGGTTCGCGAATACTTCATGACTGTTAGGGCCGAAGACGGAGGCATTCCTTCCCTTTCTAGCGAAGCTCACGTAACCATTCGTGTCACTGATATCAATGATATCAGCCCTCAGTTTGTTCAGCGCTCGTACGATATTGTCATTCGCGAAGACTCTGTGATTGGCGACCGAATCATACAATTGGTGGCCATTGACTCGGATTCGGCCGAAAACGCGAACCTCAGCTATTCATTCACCGGCGGTTCCCAAACATACAAAGAATTTCAAATCGATGCCATCTCTGGCATCATAACTGTGGGCAAGGGTTTAGACCGGGAGATGATCTCATCCTATATTCTTGAGGCCGTTTGCAATGATAACGGAAACCCTAAACCCCTTTCGAGTTCTGTGTTTGTAAACATCGAGATATCGGACGCTAACGACAATCCGCCACTTTTTGACAAAACTAATTACACAATGTATGTCCAGGAGGGCCGACCCACCGGTCACTCTATCGTCAACTTCAATATACAGGACGGCGACAGCGCCGCCAATTCCGGTCCCTTTACTCTCAAACTATTATCCAGTGATTATAATAACAGCTTTTCATTGGTCAACGAAGACACCTCTTTGCGCACTAACACTGTGTTTAACCATTCATTGGAATCCAATTATTCGCTCACAATTTTGGTGACAGACTCGGGAACCCCTCCCCTAAACTCGACGACATCTGTACTCGTTTTGGTGACACAAGAGCCCAGAATTCCACCCCAATTGAGTCATCTGTCAATTGTGGTCAACTCTTTGGAACAATTTCCCGGTGGAATCATTGGTCAGGTGAGCGCCACAGATGACGACCCCTTCGATAAACTGAGTTATGCCATCACTCAAGAGGACGACAGACACTTATTCTCCATTGACTCGACTGACGGCACTTTAGTTGCCTTTCCCGGACTCGACGCCGGAAAGTATAAGATTAATATAACGGTCAGCGATGGGAAGTACTTGACCTATGGTTTGATTGATTTGGAAGTCTCTGTCATTACCGATGATATGATCGAAAACAGTGTTGTCGTTGAGTTGAGATCGATATCTGTAAAGGAATTTATAACCAATTATAAAAAGACATTTATACGAGTCATGAAAAATGTATTCAATGTCCGAATGAAAGACATTATAATAATCAGTATTCAACCGACGGATCACAAGAATCCAAACAACAGACTTCGAAGAAGTCACGAGAATTTGGGTGACATTAGTGTTCTGTTTGTGGTCTCAAGAACTCGAGGCGGATATTACTCGAGACAATGGATCAAAACGAAAGTGGCTGAGAGTAAGGTCGGCATTGAGAAACAGTTGGGTATTCTGTTGGAGGACTTTATACTGAAGTCCGAGTGTCAGCACATCCACTGTAAACACGGCGAGTGTCGCGACGAACTCATACTTAGCGAAAACGATGTCATCTCTATTGTGAGCCCTAAACTCAGTTTCGTGTCGCCATTCCATGAGCACCGATACGGCTGTGCCTGTCATCCGGGCTTTGGCGGCAAACTATGCGAAATGATAGTCAATGAATGCGCCAGAAATCCGTGTCCGTCCTTCAAAGAGTGTCTACCGGTGTCGTCGCCGTTGGGCTATCTCTGTCAATGTCCTTTCGGCAAATCAGGTCCCGTTTGCAATCAAAACGCCGAGACCTGTCATAACAGCGATCGCGACGTTTCCTTTTGTTACGAAGGTTTGCATTCAATTCATTTGAAAACTTGACAATCGATTTGAAGTGAACTAACATTTTGTATTTATTTGCAGAACTGAATCCCATCTCATTTCAGGGCAATTCATACGCCAGATATTCCTTTCACAAGAAGGTCGAGAAGATATCGTTACGTTTTAAGAGTCAACAATTGAGGGCTAATATATTCACTCAAAGTGGCGACAAATCCTATAATATTCTTGAGGTTTGATTTTGTAATTTACAAATATTTGGACATTAATTAATAACAATGTGTTTCCTTGTGTTCAGATCGCCGGCGGATATATTCAGTATCGGTTTGACTGCGGAAACGGCGAGGGATTGATAAGAATAGAGAATTTAGTGATAAGTGATGGCAAATGGCATGAGATTCTTGTCGAGAGGAAGAGTAACACCGCATCCCTAACATTGGACCGCAAATACAGAGGCGGAGGCTTTGCGCCGGGAATTGTGGGCTGTCTTGATCTCAGCGTTGATCTATTCTTTGGCGGTTCAGTCAAACCGCGTTCCAATTCTATCGGTGGTGAAGAGATAACTCTGGGATTCATTGGATGTCTCGACAATATTCTCATTAATGGCCAACAAATTCCACTACATATGGCATCTGTTTCATCGGCAGCTGTTTTAAAGACATTAGCGAACGTAGAGTTCAGTTGTAATTTCAAAGCCGATGTCGGCATTTGTAAGTCTCAGCCGTGTCTGAATGGCGGGACGTGTCATAATCTTGTCAACGGTTCCTATCAATGCGTTTGTGTCGGCCCTAAGTATAGGGGAGTTAACTGTGAAATAGATATGAGTCCCTGCGATACCATTCCGTGTCTGAACGGAGGTCTCTGTCGTCACGACGAAGCCCTTTGCCGGACAGGAGTGACCAACTGTTATAAATGCGAGTGCGGACCCAGTTTTACGGGTTTGAACTGTCAGGTGCCGCGATTCTGTGCGCCTAATCTATGCAAAAACGGTGGAGTTTGCGAAGAGACAAGTTTAGGGCCCAAATGTCACTGCCATCAGGGATGGCACGGCCTCTACTGCCAGTACGACATCGACGAGTGCCAGCTCTCCACTCCTGTGTGTATGAGTCCGGCCACGTGTATCAACCTTCCGGGCACTTTCCGGTGCATCTGTCCCGTCAACAGTACCGGCATCTCGTGCACCGGCGACGGCCTCTACGCCACAAACATCATATCATCTCAATTGCACATAACCTTAGATGAGATAATAGGCATCTTAATCGTGTTGTCGGTGTTGGCCATCACTGGCTTTATATTCGCCATTTGTATGAAATGCAAAAACAAGTCACAAACGCACAGAACTGCCAACAATAGGGATCAAAACCAACGATTACTTAAGAACAATGACATTAACGTGAATTTGAAACGATACTCAAAAATGAGTAATTTTGAAATGAGTAGTCAATCGAGTAAACCATTCCTCAACCAAAGACCCACTTCTTGTGCGGATCCGCTCCAAACGCTCAACAACTTCAACGAAGACCGCTCTGGCGATGAGTTGGAGACAAACATCTGCACAGAAAACTTGCGGCAAAACTTTACTAAGAAAAACGCTCCGATCGCTAGTGTTTCGCCACAAATGATTGAATCAAATTCAAAGTCTATCGCAAAAGACTCTAAAAAGCAAATCAAAATACTTAATGGTATATAAAGTTTTAATGATATTTTTATTGAACACAAATTTTATATCAAATGTATTAATGTCCAAATCTTTATGAAACAGATGCTAAGCCATCGACGTGTAAGGCATCCACACCTCCAACGAGGGTCTCTTTCGGTGACTCCGATTCAAACGGTGAGTGTCTTTCGATAATTAACTAATTTGTAGTTAACCTGTATTTTGCGGTGATTTGGTCTGCGATAATAACATCGAAATTGACATAACATTTATATGAAAATTGTTTCGTTTTCAGTCTTCACTGAAGAGCAATCAAACGTATCCTTAACTAACTCTCAGAACGCCGACGGTATTAACCATTTCCTTAACAAATTGCATGCTTTATAGATAATAATAATAGTGTGACTGAATGTAATGCTAACCCATTAATGTTGTGAACCCCTTACAAAGGTTACCATTGGGACAGTTATGATTTGGCCCAATCCGACAATAAACCCATTTCTCCAAATTTGTTTGAGGTCTCAGTCAATGAAATCCATGACTTGGAGTCCAATTCAGACAACAGTCAAATAGAGCTTTCATGTAATGGTTCTCAAGAGCGGGCGTTCGCCGAACGGGACGTCAGTCAAGAGAATTCGCCGCTTCTTTGCCGAAGTCAAGAGATTAACGAAGAGATTCCGTTCGCCGACACATCGGAGCCCTCGTCTCCGCAAAAGTATCTCAATCTATATCTTCCGAATCTGTCGGACAACGAGTGGAGTAATAATAAGCGTAAGAATATACTGACCTATACTTCGACGACAGACTCTCTCGCGGATAATATCAACGTCGAAGAGGAGACGTCTAAAGTAGACAAAGATTGCAATAATGGCTGCGATTTAGACGAGAGTGAGTGCGAAGAGTTTGACGAATCAAATCAACAATCAACTTATGTTTAGACTATTTCTGACCATTGATTACATCAAAATATTTATTTAATTGTATTATTATTATTTGATATAATTTTTATTGTTTTTTAATGAGTTTTAAAATCAAGTGAAAACAATCAAAACTAATCATCAAATGTATGATTGAAACAAATCATTTGTTTTGTATTTTAAAATCATTTTGTAAATGAATTTATTTCTTAACTTTCGTTTTTATAGTCTTTCTCTCGATATATACATAATTCCTAAAAAACATCACAAATTTTACAATCATTTTGTAGTTAATATAATTTATTTGCAATTATTATCAGTAATTAATTTATTGTGAAAATGTTTTTAGATTTTTCATTAAGAAAAAAATATCTATTCTTATCTCAAAACAAAAAAATGTTTAAAAACTGTTTTAAAAACTATTGTATGATTTAATTGAATGAAAAACAGAAATATATTGTAAGATTTAAATATATAAATAAATAACTTTTATATAATTATTGCCATATTTTCAGATAATAAATGAAAACGTAATTATAATTTGTATAGTATTTAATAAAAAGTGTTTAATAAAAAATCAAATTTTTAATCATTTGTTGAATGAATTCTTTAAGAATCTCTGACGGGATTGAAATTATTAGCCGAATCTCAAACACATGAATACAAAAACTAATCAAATACTCGTTTTAAGCTATAAAATTAGTTTATAAAGTAATTTATAATTTATTGGATTTAAAAGTTTTGTATCAGAGAATTGCTTTGAAATGTTTTTTGACTCGAATTTAGTTAAACAATCAAATAATACATAAATCATTTGAAGAGTATTTTGGGTTAACATAACAAATGCTGTGATTTCTTTGAATGCATTCCAAGTCTAGAAAATATCGCAAATTTTATTATCGTTTGCAAAGACACTACGGAATATCCAAATCGTTATTGCATTGCAAAAGATGCTGTACTTTACAGTACAGTATACTGTATATCACTTACAAAAAGCACACATGAATTGGCGTTATATTAATACAATGCGTTTAATTATAACAATAAGACAAATGCTAATTAACCGCTAATTATATTTGCGGTTCAGTTAAGTCAAAGACCTGAGAACCCGACGAAAGTCTAAGAATTTGGACACATTTATCATTTAATTTTAAATTACATAAATAATAATTTTATGGAAAATTCTTTGAAACAATTTAAATGAATTTAAATGAAACAATTTATAAGAATATGTAATTTGAAAATAATTTTATGGGTTTTGTCAACAATTCTCAAATTCTTATGATTACAACGATATCTAAAATTGTTGTAAAGATGGAAAATGTGATATAAAATAATAGACAAATAAGTATTGCATTGTTTTACTGTTGAATCTCTACAACAAAAGAAGCAAAGCTTGAAATAGAAATGAAATACTAATGGATTCATGAAATTAAATCATTCGTTCATTCATTCAAACAGAACTCCTATATGTATGTCAAGGAAAAGACATCGCTTTCTCCAGACATACAAAAAATATTGTTAATGAAAATCAAAACTCAAAGAAGTTTTTATTTTTTGTCAACTCAAGAATTCTTTAACTAAACAATCATTTTGTCTATTCATTGCAATAACCCATCGACTCGTTCGTGAAATTTAGTTATTTCCAAACCATTTATTATATTTGTATATCAAATATATGTTTGGTTTTGTTATTATATAATAAAAATATTTATGCGAAATAATGTTTGGGATTTTATTTTTAAATGTTTTCTATTTGTTGTAAAAGAAGTCTAAGGATGTGTTTTGAATCAAAATATTTATTAAACGTTAGTTATATTTATTGAGCGCTTGATATTCAAGGATCTCTCGAGTGATCTCAAAAAGACAACAAATTGATGGATAGAAATGAGACAAATGATGAAACAAACGATTATTGCGAAAGCGAGACAAAAATGATACAAAAATAAGAGTTAGACTTTTCGACGGTATTATCAGATGCCATGAGATAAACGCTTCTTTCACTAACTCTGCGAACAATTGTTGAAATGAACTAAACTTCTGAAACACTTATCGATTAACGTTGATATCGAGCCAAATGTTGAATTAAACTTTAAAAAACTGATAACAATTTCTTATAAAGTAATCCGAAAAAGGATGAGCTGTTAGAACACTAGCAATAAAATAAAATTTATAGCTAAGTATTGGTACACTCGTGAGAGCACAGCCTCCAAAAAGCCATCGCTTACTTCTTCCCCCAAATGTTGTATAAAATTGTGCGCAAAGAATGTGTGTTTAAAAATGTGACACAACTTTCTTATCTGTTTCTCGATTTCTAAGACTATTTCAAAACTTTCTTTTGCTTCTGTTTTCTTCACAGCAAATGCAGAGATATTGATGCGAATAATCACTGAAACGCTAATTATTTGGCAATTCTAATAATATGACAACTTTTCCCAAACACTCGGGCTTTTATAAATTCATCGCTACTTTTATTATAGTAAGTGATTGTAACTAATAATCAAATTAATAATCATTATATTGTTGTTGAGTCGCTTTTGATCGCAAATTATAGAGATTTTAAAAGATTATTTTAAAATAGATATCAATAATGTCTTCGATGGCAATAATAGCGGTTAAGAGATGTCATACAGGAGTGGCCACCGATGAAGAAGTGAAAGAACTAAAGACAGCTGAAGACAGAAATCGATACATTTCGCGATACTTTATAAAACT